TTTTGTAATAAGTTGATCAAATGTGCACCCCAATCCAAACAACTCAGAGTATTGGACCCTGCCTTACCTCTAGGGTTATCCATTCCAATAGGCCTTGGAACTCCTGCTTGACCCATTACTAAGGGCTGGAAACATCTTCTTGCATTTCTAATAGGGATCATATTAGCCCATTCCTGTCACAAGGTACCACACAATTACAGGCACCAGAGCAGTGACCGAGTCCTCTGATGTCTTGGGCATCCCTCTTTGCTGGTTATAGTCACCATATTCAAAGTAGATAATTGTTCTCTACAATAGCTATTTGACCACACTGGGCTTTGCAGACCTTTCAGAAGATGTGGCAGTTGCTAGAATTTTCCCCATCCTCCAGCTGAAAATTCCAACTTGGAGACCTTTGAGCCCTGGTAATCTGTCTCCTGGCAAGGTTATGGCTGTGGGAACCAGTAGGTCCCTTTTCCAAAGATAAGATTTTCAAACTGAAGGGTACACACCCAGTGATCCTAGAACTGCCACCCTATTCCTACCAGGGGTCTTTATAGGCTGAAGGTGCTGCTTTTACAGGGCTGGAAGCTGCTCTGATCATTCTAAGGAATCATCTCATCGCCTCTGAGTTGAAATGGTGCTCACTCCAGATACCCTGGGAAAGGTCACCTACCACCTTTTGGCTACTTGAGAGTCAAAATATCTCTCCTTTCCATTATGTCCAATGTGGCCGTGCATGAGACCCAGTCATTTTTATTATTTTTCTCCAAGTCTTACCTCTCTATCTTTCTGGGTCCCCCTTCCCTTCTCAAGACAGGGGAGGGTGACCCATCTAACTGAACTTTCTCTTTCTCAAGGCATAACTTCTGACTTGGTCTAGCTTTTTTTTAGCCAAGAATCCTGGGCTTCTCTGCTTAATGTACCTGAATGCCTGCTGCTGTGAAAATGGCCCCTCTCCCCTCACTACCAGGTTCCTCAGTCAACACCGTCATCAGCCAGACACCTAGGGCCTTTCCTCTACCTTACCTAAATGGGCCCTGAATTCGTCCTTCTACAGCATTTAAAAAATGCTTTCAGTGGCTTTTCTCAGTGGCCTTCTCAATGGCCCACACATTCTCTGTGGTTGCAGCAGGATGGCAGGCTGGCTGTCTGTAGGCCTTGGCTTTGTCCCACACCAGCTGGGGCCATAGTTCTAACCCTTGAAGAGATGAAAGCCGTAGAAAAGGTAACATCACTAAACTGTGGGTCTGTCCTCTCTGGCTCCTCTGCCCAACTAGTGCCCTGGACCAAGAGAGGCCGGCTTCATTCCTCCCACAGGGCGTGGTCTTTCAAGAATGCTGTATTAGTTGGCTTTCTCATCTCTGTTACCAAATTACTGTGAGAACAACTAAAGGAAAGGAAAATTCCTTTTCCGAGAGTTCAGCCCATGGTTGTTTGGTTCACATATTTGGGCATAACATTATGGTGGCAGGGATATGTGGCTATGAGTCGCTTCTTCACCTCACGGTGGACAGGAAGCAGAGAGAAAGAGAGACATGAAGGGTCCAGGGCAAGATATGCCCTTCAGAGACTTGCCCCAGTGACTACTTGGCTCCAGCTCTCAAAGTTACCACCAACCTCCAAAATAGTGCCACCAGCTGGGAATCAAACATTTCATACATGAGTCTGGGTGGGGATATCTCATATTCAAACCTTACCAGATGCAAAGACAAAACTGTGGATTCCCAGTAGCAGCCGCCCTAATTGCTGAGGTTGGGAGAAGAGAGGAAGCCCCTAAAGATACAGAACCCGGTCCCACCAGCAGGCCACAGGCAGCCCTGCTCACTCAGTAGAGGAGGGAGCAGCTGCCGGAGAGACTGTGGGATAGTGGGTGGTGGCAGCAGGGGTGGCATGGATGTTGCTATTTATGTTTCAGTTCAGTGTCAGATCGCCTATTCCTAGCTATTTTCCACTGGGAAGAAAGGCCCAATCTGAGTCCCTTCAGCTCCCAACGCCAGTTAGTTATCAGCCCCTGGGAAGAATGTTTGTGCTTCCTTTCTGGTGGGATTTGGAAGTTGTCATCAAGAAATGGGGAAAGCCTGTGACCCTGGGCCTTTCCCTCCCTGGGTTCAATTTCCTTGTCTGTTTGACAGTGGGAAAATGGAACCGAAAGTATGGCAAATGTTTAGCTTCTACCCTGTGGAGTGCTGGCAGCCGGCCTACTGCACTGGGCCCTTGGTAGCACCCTGATTACTCCTTGAAACAGTAGCAGTGGCCACCCAAAGGGTTCCCATGCTTGAGACTCTACTTGCCACATAAATGTCTTCTGCTTTTCAAAACCCTGCAGGTAGTCAGGTCTTCCTCTTTCTAGCTTTCAAAGGAGGAAATGAAAGATTCAAAGTGGGGTCAAAACTAAAAAATATGGGATTCAGATAAGTACTCAGAAGAGTGTCCAGTTCTGAACAGCCTGCCAGCTTTATCTAGCTTTCGTTTATATCTCAGCTTCCACAAAAGCCTGACCAGTCATTCAACAAACAAGCCTCAGTGGTCAGAAGATGACCCACCCCTGTAGTTAAAAGAAAAGGGGTCCCCAAGAGAGGAAGGGGGCTCCTACTTTCAGGGAGGGCTTGCTCTGTTGGCTTGCTTCCCTACTCAGAAAGTGCCCAGTGCCTACACATTCCTATCCAGCCTCCTTGCCAGGATATTTCAAGTCTCTTACAGGCCTTCCTCACCTTCCCCTCTAGCCTAGCCTGACCTCTCCCCCTTCCACACTAGCCTCTCCAGGTCCCCCTCCCCCCGGTTCTCGCAAACATGTGACCCCCTCCCTAGCACAGGCCCTGCTCCCCATCTCTGCTGGCACATGGGTCCACCCTAAAGTTAAAGCTGTCCTCTCCTCTGTCCAGTCGTCCCCTAAGGCCAAGCTCGCTCTCCCCTCCTCTGAGACACCGCCCTGACTATTAATTCACGTGTTGTGTCTCTGAACATCTGTGCCATCTGTTCACGGGAGTCTTGGCTCTAGGCAAGTAGCATTTGTTGCCTTTTCCATTAACTAGCAATAGCTGAGGTCCTTCTGCATGCCACCGTGGGAAGGGCCAGCTCCGTGTTTCCTTTAGCCCCTCTCTCTCGCATAATGCTATGTGTGTCTCTTGACCCAGTCGGGTTCCTTGGACTCAGTTCCATTCATCTTTGATACCTTTAACCACCAACCTTCTCCCTGCTTAGCATCTTGCATTAGGATGAGAGCCAAGCTGAGCTTTAGTGAATGTTTGTTGAATGACTGGTCGGGTTTTTGTGGCCTCTGAGATGGAAATGAAAGTTAGCTAAAGCAATGGGAATAATTATTATACTTAAAAGACACACTTAGCTCCTGCCCAGGTCTCAGATCTGATTCCAGGTAGGTTGTTTTCTCTCTTCCCACCCCTTCTCTTCTTCCCCCTCTGGAAGCCCCAGCCAGAGGCAGAGCTGTAGTGGGAGTTCAGGGCTCCTCTGCACTTTTCCTAAGTTGCCTAAATTGACTTTCAACTCTAATTGATGAAGCAAGCTGATTCTTGTCAACAAGGAGGAAGTGCCAGTATGACCTCCTTGGTGATCCTTCAGAGTCCCCTTTCCAGGTGTTTCCTCAATGTGGAAATAAGAGCGACTGTGGAAAGTGTCTGAGCATGGACAGAAGGGTGGGGTGGAGGAGGGCTGTCAGACCCCAGAACAAGGGCCCTGCTCTGGAAGCATTAGCTCAGGTAAATGGTTAACTCAAGGGAAGGTTTTTCACGGTGCCTCCTCCATGGCCAAGAAGTCACCTTTAATTGTTGGCCTTCTGTGAGATGTAAGATCTGAGCAAAGAGGAGCACGGTCATGGGTGGGTAAATGCCCACCTTTCCTGCCTGCCCCCGGCTTCTCAGAAAGTGGTGAAAGGCATTCAGATCATCCACTAGGAGTGCTGGCTGGGAGGAGAGGAAGACACGCACGCCCACGGGATAGGAATGATGGGAAAGATCTTCTGACCATTCAGGACCGTTAGATGTGAAGGGGAGCAAGAAGGTCAAAGTACGCCACTCTGATTGCTTTGAATGGAGGTGTTGTTTTGGAGTGCCTACACCAGAAACAGCTGCCCAGCCTCTGGCTTTTGGAGATATCTTCCTGCCCTCAGGGAGCTGTAGGCCCACTGCCTAAGACATTTTTAAGTCTACTGGAAGAATGGCCCAGCAGCAGGCCGCACAGCCCTCCCAGCTTCTCCTGCATGTGTTTCACTCGGTGTGGCTCCACAGCTCGCTTTCCCACCCCTTGGTGAGCTAAATTGAGTTGGGAAGATCGCCATCCAGTTGCTTCATTTGTTCAGGATGACTTTTTTCATTCTTTGCCTCCATTCCCTGCCCCGTGCTCCTTTTACTGGCACAGTCCCATCATCTCCAGGTCTTCATCCACCAGGGCCAGCATGCCATCTCCACTTTGATGTGTGTGAGTGTGTGGTGCTGGCCTTAGGGTGGGCTGGGGGAGTGTGAGCCAAACCTCCCAGGGCCCTGCCTCCACTGAGCACGGGCTGCTCCTTGGAATGCTTGGAGCTTCTTTGGTTTCATATTTTATTCATCCCTCGAGCCACTGAGAGCTGAATACGAGCACAGCGTGGACGCATCTGAGCACGTCTCTGTAATCCTTCCCTGAGCAGCCCAGCCACACTGCCACACAGCTTTGAACTTCAGGCCATGGAATCCAAAGAGGAAGCAAACCTGAGGGGCTACCCAAGAGACTGGCTCCACCTCCTCTTCCTGCCCTGTCCCATTCCCTTGCAGCAGGCAGGAACATAGGAACTCATCCAGTGGACTGGAGAGGAGAAGGGGAGGGGAAGGTGCTGCCAGTTTCAGCTGGTGAGCAATCTGTGAAACCTAGATGTGTGTGCCTTGGAACAGACCTCGAACATCCGCCTGCAGAGCTCCCACTGGTCAAACCAGATTTGGATATCTACTCAATTTGATCTCAGTTCTTGCTGTGCTCTCAAAGGTCCGTTGTGTGATCCTCTTTACAGAAATATTTTATTTTCAATACAGACACAGCCCTTGGCGTAGCAGTAAAAAACATCACCCCTGAGAGAAACATGGCTGGGAAGTGTTTTGGTATGTAACCTCCTGTCTTTGCCTACATGAGAGGCTTTGTCCCACTGTTCTTTTTGTCCCTCAAATGGGTGCTCAAGCTTCAGAAGGCCCTGGAGTGAGGACAAGAGGTCAGCTTGAACAGGAGGTCTCTTCCAGCAGGGACTGGTTTGGGATAGGGAGTAGTTGCCATCTTTCACCCAACAAGAGTTTCTTTGAGAACACCACTCCCTGCCCCCCACTCTGAAGATGGAAGTCAAATTTTCGGATTCTGCTGTGCAGAGCAGAGAGGTCACTAGGCTCTAATGCATTTACCATTGACTGCCCCTCTTGTAGTGCGTCTATTAGTGAGTAATTTGATTTGTACCTATTCATTTGCAGTCCCTGCAGGAGCCTGGAGCTGGCCCCTAGTATAATTGGTGCTGTCTCTATTTTTACATCATTAGATTAGCCCCGACTCCTGGCCACTTGTTGTCTGCGCTTGTCTGTCCATTTATACAACCTAATGTAACACAAAATTCATTACTGATCACATTACTTTCAACTCTGAAGCCAGCCTTGTGATAAACATTTGGTTAACCCCTTCCTCCCCACGGGAAGGCTGGCAGGACAAATGCACTTCTGCTCGACAGGCAAATCAATATCTTAATACACCAAAGTGGAATTGCATTTCTAGATTTGTTATTCCTCCTGGAGGAGCAAATGGAAAGGCTTGTCTGAGCTAGCTGAATTGAATAATGAATAGTGCCCCGGCACCAGCAGTCAGTCTGGGAACATAGCACAATGACCTAGCCAAATGAGACTAGCCTGTTTCATGCGGACAGGAGGCACCATGGCAGTTCAGGGAGGCTGGGGTTCTCTCCTGCATGGGCTTGAGAGCACAGATTGGGACCCTCAAGTGGGCCACTGAGACTTCACCCCAACACCATTTCTTTTGCCTGACTTGACCTAGGACAACCAGACCAAACATTGGGTTGGTTTCCTTAGGTACTTATTTGCTGGTGTATAAAGGCCACCAGACACATGCGACACATGCTGCTGACACTAAATGCCACCTAGAAATTAATTCCATTACTAAACATTGTGGGGTCTTTGTTGTTGTTGGTTTTGGGTTTGGTTTGGTTTGGTGAGACTGGGGTTTGAACTCAAGGCTGTGTGCTTACAAAGCAGTTGCTGTACTTCTTGAGCCACACCTCCAGCCCAAAAAGCACTGTTTCTTATTCACAGTCAGGTCAGTGATGTTGGGATTGGCTGGTTCACACCAGTTGATGTGCACATGTGCCTGTGCCCCAGGCAAACATTCTTTGGCACACAGACCACGCGTACTTATACATGTGCTGGTTCCCTAGTAGAGTAGCAAGTGGGACTCTCACACAGGAGCTGGTCACAAGTCTTAAAAGGACTTCAGCACAGCTTTGTTTAATGTAGAAGACTCTGCTGTACCCCCACACTGGCCAGCCCCTCCCCAGCTCCTACTTGTCTCTGGTTATCATCCACACCCACAGTAAGTCATTAACTCACAGGATAGTTTATATCCAAAGGAAAATTACCCCCACTTATTAGGAAACTTTCATAAAGGCTGTACCACAATGATTAGAAATGTAGGCACAGAGGAAACAAAATGGAACCCATTACCTTAAAGCATAAATCCCTATATAGAAAGAAACCGTAAACTAAAGATGCTCAGTGGGCAGAGAAGCTGGGGAAAGCAGCTGTTTGGGGAACATTCTGCTTGACTATGGGGAAGTCCTGAGCAGGAGGCCAAGGAGGAGAGGCCCTGAAGCCTGTGGTCAGTGAGTGTCCATCCTATTGAGCAGGACACTTTCCCTCTCACAGAGGACTGAGTCTTGGACCCCACTGTCTCTGCAGTTTAGAGCCCTTGCAGGCCCAAAATGTCCAAAATGTTCAACAATCCTGTGAGATGCAACCCCAGGATTCTTCAGGTGGCTCCGATGCCACTCTTGCCTTGTCCGTTCGACTCCTGTGCATGGCGGGGGGGAGGCGGGGTGCAGAGAGAGCAGGGGTGAGGCATCTCCATGTGGAAGTCTTGCTCAGTGTCAAGTCAGCAGCTTCGGCCTCAGCTGTTCATCCTCTCAGGAGGGTAAGCAGAACTATGGAGGGGAGGGGGGGAAGAGGAGAATCTGCATAGCCATACTGGCCCCAGCCTGTAAGTTCTAGAAAACAGATAGGAGGAACCAGGCACAGTGGCTCAGACCTGTAGTCCCAGCTGCTCAGGAGGCTGAGTGGGGAGGATTACCTAAGGCCAGGAGTTCAAGACCAACCTGGGTCATGTCTAGGAAAGAAGGAAGGAAGGAAAGGAAGGTGGAAAGGAAAACAGCTAAGAAAACAGGCCTTATGCCTTTGCAGAATAGGGCAGACCAGTGGTGGGGAAAACAGTGAATCTGCCCATGGAATGAGGGTCTGTAATTTCTTAACGTTGATGGAAAAGCGGGGAAAAGCCACATCTTACCAAACTCTTCCGCTGCATCATAGCGAATTTAATTATGCTTGGACATTTGAATGAGAACCAGATGTGGCTCTGGCCCCGCCGGCCAGCAGTGTTCAAAGCTCAGTGTCTCTCCTATGGTCTGCAGGTCCTGTGCTATCTCATAAGGCTGGAGGCTAGCTCTGGAAGTCCCCCGCCTACATGTTGGGATGGGGGCTTCCAAGTTCATGGCTGGACTTCAGGAGACAGAAGTCAAGGCCAGCTGCCAGGTACTTGGTTCCCAGAAAGTTTCAAGTACTGTCTCTCCAGAGTCATGCAGAGTAAAATCCTCCCCGCTCCTCATTAGCACCTACTCACAAAGAAATCATACCACAGCACCTGGCTGGGCCGTCATTCTCCATCCCCAAAGAAATGTCTGCTGTGCCACTTGGCTCTGAGTCCATCTTAAATAGCATCTGCTGAGGCTCTGCCCCAGTTTTGTCCCAAGGACCCAGAGCTAGAAAGGGCACTTCAGCTCTCCCCGCCTCCCCCAAGGTGAGGTATCCTATTCCAGGGGCCTCAGCCTGCCAAAGACACTAGTGTCTTCTCTTACATCATTCTGCTTCTTAGAGTCCCTTTGCAAACCTTTCTCATTAGAGCTCACACACGCAGCAAGGTCCTCAGAGCTCACTCTCCCCTCCTGGTTGACAGATGCTAAGGCAGATGAGAAGCAAGCAACTTGCCCAGGCCACTCAGCACATCTGTGACAGCACTGGGGCCACAGCCCTCCTTCTTTTGGCCATCTACAGGGAGGTCAGTCAAGGCTTCTGCATCTGGTTGACCTGGTGCCTGGCTTTGGCTAGTCATCAGATACCTCAGACCAGGAAGTACAAGCTGGGCTGGCTGGGTCTTTTCTGTTCCTGTGTGTGGTATGCTGAGACAGGATAGACTCTGTCTTGCTCAGGATTTAAAGTTACACTACATAGTGGGTGCTGAAGTTGTCACTGGGCTTGGGGTACCAGTTGAGGCTGCCTAGGTGGGTTCTCCTTCTGCCTTCTCCTTAGAAGCTGAGAACTTGGGGAGGCCTGGATTGTACCGGTTTCCTGGGGTGCTGTAGCCCTTCTGGCTCAAGTCTTTTCCTGCCTGGGATCAGTTCCGCAGCATGGTTATGGGAAGTAGGAATCTGGGAAACAGTTCCAGCCCGCAACCAGACCCTCAGGCTCAGACCCCACCCACAGCCACTACTCCTCAGCTCTTCAAAGGCCATGAAGGAGAAGCAGGGGCTGTGCTAGAAATGGCTCTGCCTGGACACAGCCAGTCCCCTGTGTCCCACCACACACGCTGCCTGCATACACATACAGGCATAATTGGCACTAGCACAAAGAGGGGTAGAGAACATAGGGACAGGCCTGGTGAACATGGGGACTTCTGGGTCCTCCTCACTCCCTAGGCCTGCCTCCCTCCCCCCTCTTTCCTACTTTTTTCTGCTTTCCCCAACGTTCCAACATGCATAGCTCCTTCATCATGGCCCTGTCTCTACTGACCCCACCAGAGATTTGGAAATCTATCCTACCGCTCCCCCTACTTCATAGTGTTGATGCCCCACCAGCCTCCCTGCAGGAACAGGATTCCCAGGGGCTTATGCAGCTTTCCTCTGGCTGCCAAGGGGAAGGGGATGGGAAAGAAGCAATGGGCTTTTTGTCTAGTTTTCAGGTGGAAGTTAAGGCACAGGCAGGCCTCTGCTTGACCATCTCACATCCAGGTTCTGGTCACCACTTTCACCTTCTAGGGGCTGTGGACACCCAGGAGCATCTGAGGTCTCACTAGGCCTCAGATCTCCTGCCAGTCCCCGCTGAGGCTGTGAGACACCCATGCATGGCCCCTGTGGCCACAGGAAGCAGTTCCAGGCATCCTGAGCCAAAAACACCCAAGATTTACCATCACTATTGTCAGCTGAGAGTTGGAGGGTGGGGACAGGATAGACCATAAGTCCTCTCATGACCTTCTGGGTCTCAATAACTGAGGGAGTCAAGGACGGAAGGTGGCCAAGGAAGAAAGCAAGCACATTCATAGGGTTAAAAGGAACTCCAGCCAGGAAGGGGGTGTGTGCTGCCGCGGGCTGTGGCACTTAGGCTGGTGACAGGAGTGCACAGATCTCCAGGCAGTGTATGTAGTAAGACACCAGAAGTCTGTGGTGTCAACTGGCCAGGGGTCAGGGTTCGGACATAGGTATTAAGCCCCAGAAAGAAGAGCAGGTCAGAACTGGCCTGCTTCTCATCTCCTCCCCGGTTCTATCAGTCCAAACCAGGATTCCTATTTAGAATAGAGGAGTCTTTTTGTCCTCAGCCTCACAGCTTCCAGAGGCTGCCCTCCTTCCTTCCTCAAGGTTCTCTGGCAAGGGAACCAAAGCCCCTGCTGAAGGACAAAAGTGACTCCTGTCTCAGGTTCCACTAGCCTTAGTCCACAGCCTCCAAAGGCCTCCCCTGGGTGGGCAAGGAGGCCTCCTGTCTGTTGGCACTTCCACAAGCTCCCAAGCCTGAGTACAGCACCTTAGGGGAAGCCTTGAGGTGCTACCCTCTGTCCCCCTCCCCTACCCAAG